ATCTCTGCCTACTTAGTGCTGGTGCCTGTACATCTGACCTTAGCTGGAGAAAACCACAGCTCCACCCTCTAGTTTTGTTTTTAACCCATGACCGTGAACCTCAGCAGTTACTCACTCTCATGGGGCCTTCTACAGTCCTCTCCTCTTTCCTTAGCGCTCTAACACCTCTCAATTGATGCTTTCCTTCCAACTGTGGCTGAAAACTTTGTGGCAATAAAAGGGGACTGAAGAGGCGCTCCCTGTGCTCCTGTCTCAAGGCAGCTCCTCTGTTCCAGCATTAGATGTAGCCCCTCTGCCTGCTCAGTGGCAGGGCTCCAGTAACCCCTCCCATCATGAGCCTCTCCCTGTTGGTCATTCCATCAACACCCACGCATGCTGTTACCTCTCCGATCATATTAGGGAGAATGAAAGCAGTCCCTGAATCCCACTTCTGCTTCCAGCCTCACCTACAACTCCATGTCTCTTCCCCTTATTGCAAAACTGTCGCTCCCCCTCTTCATGGAGGAACGACACTAAGTCCCTGCCTAGGCTTCATATCCGAGTCACGGCACCATTATGTCGCTCCCCGTCTTCATGGGGGAACGACACTAAACCCTGCCTAGGCTTCATATCCGAGTCACGGCACCATTATGTCGCTCCCCCTCTTCATGGAGGAACGACACTAAGTCCCTGCCTAGGCTTCATATCCGAGTCACGGCACCATTATGTCGCTCCCCCTCTTCATGGAGGAACGACACTAAGTCCCTGCCTAGGCTTCATATCCGAGTCACGGCACCATTATGTCGCTCCCCGTCTTCATGGGGGAACGACACTAAACCCTGCCTAGGCTTCATATCAGAGTCACAGCACCATTATGTCGCTCCCCCTCTTCGTGGAGGAACGACACAGGACCCTGCGCTGTTCTTTCGTCTGCTCGGCCCTCCCCGGGTTTGCTGCTGGTTCTTCCCGGGTTGGCTACTATCCCTTCCACCTCCGTGGAAGGGCAGTTCCCCCTGGCCGCATTCCCCACTTCCGCAGGGGAGCGGCACACCGCCGGCCGGCTCTTCTCGGGGGCTGCACAGGTTCCCTTAGATGTTCCCCATAGATGTTACTGGTGCATGCCGTCTCTCTCCTCCTTTATAGTCCTCCTCCGCCAATCCCAACTCGGCTGCCCACACGCCGAGTACGCTGCTCTCCTCCAATCAGGAACAAGTCCTACAGTTAATTGGTTGAACTGGAGGCAGCTATGCGGAAGCTGTTTACTTCTCTCCCAGCGCCATATTGTGGGAGAGCAGATGCATAGAATAAGTCCTAATTCCAGTAACAGTCTAGTCCGGTTTGCTCCCCACACAAAACTCTCCAAATATCGCCTGGTGTTCATTCTTATTCTTGATTTCTTCCTTCTCTGTCACCTCTTATTTTAATTTAATTTGATTTATGTATTTGAGAGAGAGAGAGAGAAAGCACTCCCCCATCCACTGATTTACTCCCCAAACACCTACCACAATTGGGGCTGGGCCAAAGCCAGTAGCTAGGAACTAAGTCTGCCATATGGGTAGCAGGAACCCAATCACTTGGGCCCAATCATAGTACCTCCCATGGTCTGCATTGGCACGAAGCTGAAAGTAGGAGCTGCAGACGTGAATCCAATCCAGGCACTCCAGTGTGGGATGCAAGCATCTTAACCAATGGGCTAAACCCCACTCCTTGGGCTCCCTTGAATTGGGGTCTATCAGGCTTCTGGCCCAGCCATTCCACTGCTCTTATCAAAGTCCCTAATTCAGTACAAGATGCTAAATCTCACAGTTCTTAGTCACATTTCGGTGCCCTGTTAGCATTTTGCATTGCTTTCCTTCTTGAAGCGTCCTGGCTTAGAAGACGCATGTCTTCCTCATTTGCCTCGTTCCCCTGACCAGTCCATCTCAGTCTCCTGGGATACAAAGCTCTCTTTGCTGTCTGCCTACCTTCAAGCCCCAAATCACCATCCTTAAAGTGGCATGGCTTAAAAAAATTATTTATTTATTTATTTATTTTGACAGAGTTACAGAGAGAGAGAGAGATCTTCCATCCACCGGTTCACTCCCCAAATGGCTGCAATACCCAAGGCTGAACCAGGCCAAAGCCAGGAGCCAAGAACATTATTCAGGTCTCCCATGTGGGTAGCAGGGGCCCAAGTATGTGGACCATCTTCTGCTGCTTTCCTAGGTGCATTAGCAGGGAGTGGGATCAGCAGGACTTTAACTGGCGCTCATATGCAATGCTGGCATCGCAGGTGGTAGCTTAACCCCCTGCACCACAACGCTGGCCCCAGTGGCATAGCTTTAAATAGCATCTGTGTGCTGATGACTCCCGGCTGATTATTTCCAGCCAGACCTCCCACCTTGCCTCCCAGATTATATGTCCATCTAAGAACTTTTTGGATCTCTCCATTTGTGGGTCCAGTGGACATCTCGAACTGAACCCCGATGCCCCCTCTACCCCTCAAACCTGACTCGGTTCATGGCAGCTCTGAACCTTCAGTTGTGCAGGGCAGACTCCTGGCACTTTCTCATGGCTTCCATGCCTGCCATCTCATACCTCTTCACTGCTTTCTCTGCCTCTTCTCAACATAACCACCACAGGGATCCTCTGTAGCATCGGTTAAATCACCTCATCTCCACTGTTAATGGAGAGCAAACAATTCCCTATCAGCCCTAATGATCTGACTACCTTTTACCTCTGTGTCTTCTCTGTCATCCCATACTCACCTCACACCAGCCATGCTGGCAGCATGCCATGCAGGTGCCCACCCAGCTGAGGCTCTTTACGAGAGGAAGTCGCCTGTGTTTAAAATTAGGAGAACTCCACCCCTATCTCCCAAGTATGTTGCTGCCTCACCTACCTCCAAGGTCACCTCAGCAGCACCTGCTCTGGTCATCCTGCACTCTCATCCCCCTGCTCTGGCCTGTTTTCAGTGGCACCTGTCACCCTCCGACATCCTACACACTGCTCAGTTACTGTAATTATTATCTATTTCCTGCTGGGATGTCAGTTCTGTGCTGGGTGTCTAGAACAGCACTTCAGCCTGAGATTATGAGTGAAAGTTTCCCCATGTCTGCCTGATATTGGATGGAAACATGCCGAGATCTGCCTCTGATAGCTTTGAATCCTTTTTAAGTTTCTCAAACAGGATTGTAAACAGGATTCAGAAAATAACTGCTAAGAAGCATTGTGTCCTTGACTTGATTGCATATGAGCTTTTATTCTAAACACAACTGCTCCAGAATGTAGCAGCAGTGTCATACATATTGATATGGTGTAAACAACATAATAGATCCTTGACATTTTTAAGGATACATTCAAGTTCTTCACAAATCTCTCATACTGTGGATACTATGATAGTATATTCTCACATGAATTCCATGCACAGCAATAAAAGGCAGGCAGGCACATGGCGCTCACTCCACAGCCAGCCTCTCTGCTAATCCTTCTCATTGTGCCTCAGTAGTGTCCACTTTACAGCAGCTCGTGAACCCCTGACATTGCCCGCACACTATGAAAGCCAAGAACATTAGAATGTTTGGTGCACAGTATCTGATTTGAGCCCTGGCCGTGCCACTTTGGATCCAGCTTCCTGCTAATGCTCATCCTTGGAGACTGCAGGTGGAGGCTAAAGTACTTAGGTCCCAGCCACCCTCATGGGAGACCCAGAGTTCTGTTCTCTTTGCCTATGACTGGCCCAGTCCTGGCTGTTGCAGGCGTCTGGGGAGTGAACCAGCAGATGGAAGATCACTCTTATCTGTGTGGGTGTGTGTCTGTTTGTGTGCATTTGTAACTGCCTTTCAAGTAATATGAAAATAAATAAAAATAAAATGAAACCAAGAATATCAATTCTGTGAAATCCAGGAGTCTGGTATGTTACTTTATTTAAAAATGTTTAAATACTAACTTTAAAAAATATTAGTTCTACCAGCTTACTGGGCCTTGGTTTTAGGCTTCTACTATGTGCAGGTGTTTTTACAACTGAGTAACAATTTACTGTTAAAACAAAATGGGGGGCCAGCACTGTGGCTCACTTGGTTAATCCTCCACCTGCAACACCGGCATCCCATATGGCCGCCGAGTTCTAGTCCCACTTGCTCCTCTTCCAGTCCAGCTCTCTGCTGTGGCCCAGGAATGCAGTGGAGGATGGCCCAAGTGCTTGGGCCCCTGCACCCGCATGGGAGACCAGGAGGAAGCACCTGGCTCCTGGCTTCTGATCGGCACAGCTCTGGCCATAGTGGCCATTTGAGGAGTGAACCAACGGAGGGAAGACTTTTCTCTCTGTCTCTCTCTCTCTCACTGTCTGTAACTCTACCTTTCAAATAAATAAAAAAAAAAATGAACAACAGAGTTTTCACTCTTTTTTTAAAAGATTTATTTATTTCTTTATTTATTTGAAAGTCAGAGTTACACAGAGAGATAAGGAGAGGTAGAGAGAGAGTCTTCCATCCGATGGTTCACTCCCCAGTTGGCCACAACAGCTAGAGCTGCACTGATCCAAAGCCAGGAGGTTCTTCCAGGTCTCCCATGCAGGTGGAGGAGCCCAAGGACTTGGACCATCTTCTACTGCTCTCTCAGGCCATAGCAGAGAGCTGGATTGGAAGTGGAACAGCTGGGATTTGAACTGGTACCCATATGGGATGCTGGCTCTGCAGATGGCGGCTTTACCCGCGCTACACCACAGCACTGGCCAAGTTTTCACCTTTAAGACCAAATACCAAGTAAGCATCTCAGTTTGATTTTGGACCTCTAATAATAGTCTCTGAATGTAAACAAAAAGAAAAATACCTGGTTGTTTTCATTTTTAAACTGGTATCTAAACATATATATAGTATATTCTAGTTTAACAAAGATTTCTGCCATGCCAACTTTTAAAACAACTAAAAATGAACAGGAATCTGATAAAGAAGGGTTGACATAGACAAAGAGGATGCTGTCGCCACAGTGACAGCTGTCCAGTGAAAACATCTCACGTCTCTTCCGGTTATCATGTGTTTTAGGGCAATTCAAGCTGCTGGAGCAAGACCGAGATATAAAGGAGCCAGTGCAATATTTCAACAGTGTGGAGGAGGTGGCTAAAGCATTTCCTGAACGCGTGTACGTCATGGAGGAAATAACATTCAACGTGAAGGTAGCTCTTGAAGAACCAAATATTTACCCTCTCTAAACCCACTTCACTTCCAAGTCTGTGTGTACACAGTAAGTGCGCATCTGTGCTTCCCAGGAGAGGAGAGTTCCATCTTCCTCATGGGTTAGTGTTTGTGGGTAGAATTTCATACAATGAAGAGCTGACCTGATTCCCTGACAGTGTACCATATTTATTAGCATTGTCTAATTGTTTTGTGTTTTTAATTTAGACTTCAGTCCCTAATGTGTAACAGTTTTTTGGCCAGATTTGTGAAGCTGGATGTTCCACTTTTAGGAACAGCAGGCATATGATAAAAACAAATGCCAACATTTATTTTTAAAAAAGAAAAAAAGGGGGGGAGGGGCTTCCAGAGCATGCCATGAGTTCAGCAATATATTCATTCCATTCTTAGTGGACTATTTCAATACATGCAGAGAAAATTGATTTATAGAATGTTGCCCAGAGAAAAGCTAAATTGTATTTGCTGTGCTTCATTTGTTTTGCATCTTTAAAGGGACAGTATACTCCCTGTCAACAGGTTGGGTGAGCTTCTTTGACTAGACTTGATTTTGAGGAGACACTGACGAGAGGAGCAATGCCACCAACTAGAGCCAATCTGACAACCTGAAAACCTTCTGCATTTTCTTTAGCAACATTCACCATTCCACCGAAGCATTTTAGAAAGTATTCATTGAAAAAACTTTCTTTTTAACGTCATGTCTGCAGGAAGTCCAACTAAGTCATGTTCTCTGGATGTTTTAACATTTAGGGACAAGGTTCTTATTTCTTAGAAATCTAGTCAATGTGAAAAACAGACCGCAAGGTATCTTGGCCCAGAGCACGTCACAGTGTCTTTGTGGATGGGTGAGTCACTCCACCCACACCCTTCTGGAAAGCAAGGAAATGCCTGAGACGGACTCCTCACTGGAGAAGTGGCTGTGCCCTGTTGATTAGCTAAGCGTGGTCATTCTGTTATCCAGAGTCGCTATGTTCTACTCTTTTTAGTTTTATTATTAAGGTGGATGAGGTTTTAGACTTCATGAAACCTTCACTAAGTAAACCATGCTTATATACAAAAGCATTTCTGTAATTTTTAACTCCTTCAGTGGCCCAGGACACAAGACATTAAGACCACTTGCATTCATTTACATTGAAAATTTGTGAGAACTTGTTCATTTTTAAGATTCACTGGCCAGAAGTTAATTAAATCCTATTCCACTAGTACCTTGATATGATTTAAATCTCTCCTTAAAACATATTTAGAGTTTTCTCAATGAAAAAAAAGTTGTTTAGAAAAGAAAGTTAATGTGTGTAAGCTCTTCTCTAGCAAGATTTCATTTGGAATGAATGGTAAAAGGCATAAAATTTTTTATGATTTTTAAGGTTTCCTCCAGTATCAAAATATAACTTTCTGTCTTTTACTACATATTATTTGTATACACTATTTTATTTATTTATTTATTTGACAGATAGAGTTAATGAGGGAGAAAGACAGAGAGAAAGGTCTTCCTTCCATTGGTTCACCCCCGAAATGGCCACAAAGGCCGGTGCTGCACTGATCCGAAGCCAGGAGCCAGGTGCTTCTTCCTGGTCTCCCACGCAGGTGCAGGCGCCCAAGCACCTGGGCCATCTTCCACTGCCCTCCCGGGCTACAGCAGAGAACTAGACTGGAAGAGGAACAACTGGGACTAGAACCCGGCACCCACATGGGATGCTGGCGCCACAGGCGGAGGATTAACCAAGTGAGCCACGGCACCGTCCCCTGTCTACACTATTTTTAAAAGATATTTCAGGCAGCTTTTTATTGGTGGATTTTGTATTTAAATCAGCAGTGTTTAAAAAATACTGAGCCTCTCAGTCCCATATTGAACTCGAGTTGGAAGAGGCGAGTCCAGTCTCAAAATCGAGGGCCATGATCCAAAGGAACCAGAGCAGTTGAGGAAACTGTTTATTGGTGGTCTGAGCTTTGAAACTACAGATGATAGTTTGAGAGAACATTTTGAGAAATGGGGCACACTCACAGATTATGTGGTAAAGATAGACCCCCAAACAAAACGTTCCAGGGGCTTTGGTTTTGTGACTTACTCTTGTGTTAAAGAAGTGGATGAAGCAATGTGTGCTCGACCACACAAGGTTGATGGGCGTGTTGTGGAACCAAAGAGAGCTGTTTCTAGAGAGGATTCGGTAAAGCCTGGTGCCCATCTAACAGTGAAGAAGATTTTTGTTGGTGGTATTAAAGAAGATACAGAGGAATATAATTTAAGAGACTACTTTGAGAAGTATGGCAAGATGGAAACCATAGAAGTTATGGAAGACAGGCAGAGTAGGAAAAAAAGAGGATTGGCTTTTGTAACTTTGGACGATCATGATAGAGTTGATAAAATCGTTGTTCAGAAATACCACACTATTAATGGGCATAGCTGTGAAGTGAAAAGGCCCTTTCTAAACAAGAGATGTGGTCTGCTGCTGGATCACCAAGAGGTCGTGGAGGGGGATCTGGCAACTTTATGGATCGTGGAGGAAACTTGGAGGTGGTGGAGGTAATTTTGGCCACGGTGGAAACTTTGGTGGAAGAGGAGGCGATGGTGGTGGAGGTGGTGGCAGCAGAGGAAGTTATGGAGGAGGTGATGGTGGTTACAATGGTTTTGGAGGTGATGGTGGCAACTATGGTGGTGGTCCTGGTTATAGCAGCAGAGGAGGCTATGGTGGTGGTGGACCAGGATATGGAAACCAAGGTGGTGGGTACAGTGGAGGAGGAGGATATGATGGTTACGATGAAGGAGGAAATTTTGGAGGTAACGTTGGTGGTGGTGGAAACTACAGTAATTTTGGTAATTATAGTGGACAACAGCAATCAAATCACGGACCCATGAAAGGGGGCAGTTTTGGTGGAAGAAGCTCGGGCAGTCCTTTTGGTGGTGGTTATGGATCTGGTGGTGGAAGTGGTGGATATGGTAGCAGAAGGTTCTAAGAAAACAGCAGAAAAGGGCTACAGTTCTTAGCAGGAGAGAGAGCGAAGATTTGTCAGGAAAGCTGCAGGTTACTTTGAGACAGTTGTCCCAAATGCGTTAGAGGAACTGTAAAAATCTGCCACGGAAGGAACGATAATCCATAGTCAGAAAAGTTACTGCAGCTTAAACAAAAACCCTTCTTGGCCAGCGCCGTGGCTCAATAGGCTAATCCTCCACCTTGCGGCGCCGGCACTCCGGGTTCTAGTCCCGGTTGGGGCGCCGGATTCTTTCCCGGTTGCCCCTCTTCCAGGCCAGCTCTCTGCTGTGGCCCAGGAAGGCAGTGGAGGATGGTCCAAGTGCTTGGGCCCTGCACCCCATGGGAGACCAGGAGAAGCACCTGACTCCTGCCTTCGGATCAGCACGGTGCGCGGGCGGCAGCGCGCCAGCCGTGGCGGCCATTGGAGGGTGAACCAATGGCAAAAGGAAGACCTTTCTCTCTGTCTCTCTCTCACAGTCCACTCTGCCTGTCAAAAAAAAAAAAAAATTAAGGAATTTTTAACTTTAAAAAAAAAATACTGAAACACAAACCTTTTGATAGAATTTTTTAATATATAGAGTAACCTGATTGATTACATTCATTAAAATGTTTATATTAGAGATGCCATTTAAGAATTCAGAAGCACAAATGAGTGTATGAAATGCGAACATCCATGAAGCTAACAAGATTTGGGTTGAGCTCCATGTTTTACAAACATAAATATTTAATATCTCTAGTTTATTGCAGCTAAAGTTTTAAAATCTATCACATCTAGCTTGCATGAATCATTAAGACATTATCCAATTCTGCTCAGAGAACAATTTGATATAGGAACCTCAGAAAATTTGCATAAAGAAATATGGAAAAATGTTCATGTTTATTGAATAAACTGCTAAGTGAATAAATAAACTGATGAGAGCTTTGGCAAAGTTGGCAGGATACTGCTTAAGCTAAGAATAAGTGTAGGCAGTCATGGTCTTCTTCAATTAAAAGTAGATTTGATTATGACATCTGTCTAAGAAGTATGGAGAGCATAAAAAAATGGAATGTTTGATTATAACTTCCTGCAGAGAGAGAGAGGAAAAATGAAAACCAGTTATGTTTATTCACAAACACACCTATTATCCAGGAGCAGTATTTTAAAAGATAAATTTCAAGCCTCCTTTGACAATTGCAACCTCTTTTCTTCACTTCAGAAACAGCATCAATTAGACCATTAGAATTAACCATTGAAGCAAACCCTTGCAGTTAAGAATTGATAACTGCATCATGAGAATTGAAAGACACAACTACTGTTGGAAATATTTTTATGTCTATATGTGTGGTAAATACAAGTCCAAATTGAAATGAATCATAACATAGAGTAGAGCATTTTTCTTCCAAGACTAGCAAAATTTTTAAGTCAGTGGATAGAGCTATTTATACCTTTATTTTAAAATGCAGTATTCCTTAAATGTGAAATTAAAGAAAATTTGTCTCTAGAAAAAATGCGTTATCATGTTTAAAATGATCTGCCTGGTTGCCTCACCATTGATGAGCTGCGGGAAGTTTCCAGTTCTTTAACCAGCACGTACATGTTGACTCGCCCCTAAAAGCCCAGCACTGTTCTAGGCACTGTAGGTACATAGTGCATACCCAAGTTCCTGCCTGCATGGAGATGATGGACTGAGAGGAGAGACGGACATTAAATAAATAAATAGAACCTCCAAGTAAAGAGTCCAAGAAGGCAGTTTGTTATACAGGTCTGGAGCTTGGAGAAAGATCTGGGTTTGGGGTTACATTTGGAGCTTTTTGACTTCTGGAAGATATTTGAAACCAGGGGTATAGTTGAGTTTATGTCCATCAGTGGTTCTTAATCAAGAACAATTTTGTCCCTCAGGGATATTTGGTAATGTCTGCATGATTGTCATGACTAGGGCACGGAGGCTGATGTGTGCATCTGATGGATGGAGACCAGGGATGCCCATAAGCATTCCACAGTGCACAGGGCAGGCTTCTACTGCAACAAATTACCC